ACCCACCCACCCCGTCCAAACCCCCCCTGACGCTAAATATATGGGAAGAGGGCAGCTCTGCCAGCTATTTCGGCTGCCCCCATACCATGCCTGGCCCTGCTTCAAAGCCAGCCCTGCTCCAAGCGGGGCTCAGCCCCACACCCCGAGACTCTTCCACCCCACCGGGTTAGCGCAGCCCCACGGCAGCTGGTGGCAGACGCTTACTTGCATCCCTGCCCGCTCGGGGGGAGCAGTGGCTCTGGGATGGGGGTCCCACAGCCTCCACCCCCTCCATCCAACTGGGATGCCGTGTCCTGCCGGTGTGGGAGGCAGGCACCGACGCGCACCCACTTCTGCACAGTCGGGTGAGATGCAGCCAGTACCCGGCACAAATGAGGTCTGGGGTCCCAAATAAACAAACCACCCCCCCCTCCATGAACCTGGCAGGGAGTGCTCCCGGGAGCTGCGCAGTCTCATTACAAACCGCAGCAATTAAAGGGCTGCCCCGGAGGAAAAACCCGCTTTGCTTCTCTCTCTCTCGTCCTGGTTTGCGCAGTGATGAGAGGGTGGGAGGGAATCTGCCCCCAGAGCCTTCTCCCATGTCCTTGCTCTCAGGGGGAAACAGCTCAGCCCAGCCCAGCCCCAGAGCCCAAGGAAAGACGGTTACAAAGCAGCAACAGTCAGCGCATGAACAGAAAAGTGAAAAGAAAGGAAAGTACAGACACGGCATTTTAATGGGGCAACACCGACGGGGACAAATGAGGGGGGGGGACGACACACGCTGCAGTCGCTGGGGCTGGACCCTCACCTCTGCCTGGCTGTGCTCTGCATCCCCTTCCCATCACCAGGGCTGCAGCCAGCTTTATTTCAGACAGGCATCAGGAACCCGAGTATAAACAGAAACAAATCAGGTCTCGTCGGCTGTTCGATTTTAATAATGAGCAGGTGAAAAAGAAGACCAAAATTAATTATTCAGTGATGTAAACTCCAACCCAGCGGCTCATGCCCCGCTCCCTCGTGCTCAGGGAGCACGTGCCTGATGCCAAACCCTCATGGTCGCAGCCGTGAGCCGTACCCAGCGCTCGCGCTCCCCTGGGCACAGGCATCAAATCGCTCTCCAGAGGGGGGATGGCTCACCCAGGCCATTCCACTGATGGGGAAACTGAGGCACGAGGAAGTTAAGGCCAACATTTCCAGGCGTGAGATGCTTCAAGCCTTATTTTCAGCGGTACCGAGAAGCTGCAGATCCTGGTGATGTTCAGGAGTCGGGAGCCATCGGTGCTCCCCAAAGGGAGGCTAGAAGTATCCAAGCCAGGGCCCCAAATCCACAGCCAGGGGGGGAATACTGGGGCCAAAATGATTTGTTCGGGGACGCTCAGCATGCCAAGAGCAGGACAGGACAGACCACACACTGGGACCCGCCACGGGGCTGGAGCCAGGAGCCAGGACAAGAGCCAGCCCCGACCCTGCAGGAGGGGCCTCTGCCTGGGAAAACTCACCGTCGCCACCAAACCAAGAGGGTCCTCACAGCCGGCACAGAGCTTTTGAATACAGGCAAAAAACTTTTTTCCTTTTTGCTCTTTTTTTTTTTCCTAATGTGCAAATATTTAACAAGGGGCAAGGGAGGACGAGGCATTGGGCTCCATCCCTGAGCCCGCCAGCAGCAGCGACAGCCAGGAGGTTGCTGGCAGCAAGGGCAGCACCAGCACGGTGGACGCTGAATTTCTGGGGTCTGAAGCTCTCCCAAGCCAACGCTGGTCCCTCACCCCACCCATGATGGGGGCCACACACCCACTGCTCTTGCAGGGCTGCCTCCCCGGTGAGACATCGGCAAGCACTGATGGAGCTCAAAGCATGGCAGGTCCTCCGAAAATTAAAAGCCTTTCAGGGGAAAGTGTCAGAGCAAATGAGGTTTGCCTTTGCCTGGGAATTATGTCAAACATCGTGGGGTCCATCATTTATTAGCAGAGGCGATTACAGCAGTGTCACATTCATTGGGAACATCGATTGGCACCAGGAAGGGACCGGTCTGGCAGACGAGCGTTAGATAAGTTGGAGGCACTGCAAAGATCTACCCAAGAGAGTTGCGTTTTGGCCACAAAGCATCAAGGAAAAGGAGTTTCCATGGGAGGGAGCGAGGTAACACCCTCCAGGAGCCCCCGGCAATGAAACACGGGCACCCTCAGGGGCAGGAACCACAGAAGAGGCAGAAATACTGCACGTGGATGTGAGGTCAGTCTCCTTGGGGATGGGGAAGGGCAGTTTTTTATGGTCGTCAGAAAGTGCCACCAGCACACAGCCCCAGAACTGGGGAGCGGGGCTGCACAGCAAAGTACCAGCATCGCTTGGCTGGAGAGTCTGTCCCTGCCACGCTGGGAGGATTCAGACCCCGCTGGGGCACCATCTTGTCTCCTGCATCGTGGGACGCCTGTGAGAACGTCCTCCACGTCCAGATGTCACCTCCCCCCGCCATGGGGACAGTCCCCTGGCTAGGCTCCGCCGTGGGAGCTGCAGACATCCCGGCAGACAGCGGGGCGGAAAGATGCCACCCCCATCAGCCGGACCAGGGATGGAGGGGTGAGCCCCCAGGGTGGTGGGAGAGCGGCATCGGGGTTGCTGGCACAAAACACGTCGGAGCAGGAGGTGTTTGCACCCCGGCTGGCTTTAGGGGTCCCACAGGCATCTTGCACTTTGCTCCCGAGGAGATGCAAATCTCTCCTCCCCCAGGGCAGGGGCCAAGGCGGATGGAAACGGAGCCGCGGCATCCACGTAACGCTCGTCCTCCAGCAGAGATGCCAACTGGTGTCCCATAGCGTGTGTCCCGGTGGGGCTGAGCCCTGCTTAGGCACATCCCGGAGTGGTGGCAGGTGATGGAGAGGCCACACAGGCACCGCTCACGGCTGGGGGGGGCCATTTCCAAGCCCCATGCTCGGGTGTCTCCAGGTTTGTTTCCCCAGCCCTCCGCCTCCCCCAGGGCGGGCGCAAGCGGCTTCACTTTGGGGCCATGCCCTCGGTTTACAGCAAAACCTCCCATGTCCTAAATGAGGAGCAAGGGGATAAGGAGACACCCCGACCTGTGCATCTCCCAGCCTGGCACCCCCGAGGCAGGAGCTGCCGCGTCGCCCCAGTCGGGATGCGGGGGACAGAGCGAGTCGTCCCCACAGGCATCCCCTCTGCTCTCCCAGCCCCGCTGGCACACGGGCTAATTCCCAGCCAGCTCCCTGGGGCTCAAACAGACCTTCCCACCGTTTGCAAAACAGAAAATACGAAAGGAATATTTGCTTGAAAGCAAAATCCAGCTCTCGCCTCCATTAACACTTTTTCATGCAGTGAGAAAATGAAAAAAAAAAAATGAAAATAAGGACGTTCTGGTGCCCGGCGGTTTCCTCGCCCTGCCCAGCTGAGGGATGGAGCGGGCTCGGTCTGCTCAGAGCCTGGGCTGAGCTTGCAAAGGCAAGGTTGAACAGAAAAATGCAGGAAACAGGGGAACGGGAAAAGAAGCTACAGCATCCCCTTAAAACAGCAGCCAGCCCACGGAGCTCGGGATACGGGGGGGCGGGAGGAGATGGGGGAAGGCAGATTTTTGGCTTCATTGTTATTGCAGGCTCCCGGTGCCCCGCAATAGTGTACGAGCATGTAAACCTTACATATCATCACCTAGGTGGTTGGACACACACACGAGAGACTAAACACGGCAGCAACATTTACAACAAATAAATAAGGATATTGATCGTCGAAATAGGCATATAAAAAAAAGCCTCACTTTTTTCCACCAAAGGAAAAAAAAAAAA